GCACTCTGCAGTTAGTTTTTTTGGAAGTTTTACATAGAACTTGTTCGGTAAACCGGTGATAATGTTGCTCTTTTGCCTTATCTAAACTTTGATTTATTCATTCTAATGTAATGAATTCGACGGAAAACAGCAAGTAATCAATTTATGACATCAACCTTTTACTTGTATGCAATTATTTGGAAAATTTGTGCTTGTCAATAATCTTCAACCTATTCGTAAGATTTTTTAATGTATGGAATTTTCCAACTATCATGAATTAGGTCGGTTTTTTCACTAGTAGATTTTTAGGCCGTCGCTGATCCACCAAAGCCCTTCAATGCCCCCGACGATACTGAAAGCCATGGGAGAACTGACTGTACGTGGTGCTACAGGAGATCGGGAATCCCCAAAAATGACCAAATCAGCTACTGGTAACCCTCTGATAGCCACTCCACCTCCCTCCACGACTGCCGCCGCTCCTCCTACATCTACACCATCCCAGGTTAGTTGCTCTTTGAATCCCAGTGATTTATTCAAATATGAGGGTGACACTTCTTCTGCGTAATAATATCTCTGGGTTACTCCATCCTTTCGTATGTGCAAATCTTAGGCGTAAATTTTTTCTGCTAATGGCTCGGATAACTTTGAAGCAAAAAATTTTCTAGTACGTGAAGAAAGCTGGCTTTCGTGGAAGAGCCTTTATGAGCGTTGTAAGTTTAGCATCATTGATGATTGCATGAGAATTCTGCTTTTTGTTCTGCTTCCCTCAATGGTTATTTCCCTTCTGTCTGATTGACACTATACAGCGCTTTGGGAGTTATGGCAATCGTTTTTATTAGACCATGTGTGATTTCCGTAGGCGAATTTGCACCCTTATGCTTTTTTTTTTGATTATTTGTACAAGCAATTGTCTCTGAGGGGTTTTCCACTGTTTTTTTGGTTCATGGTAGTTACCCGTTGTACTCGGTAGTAACTGTATAAAAAGATCATGGAAGGCTTTTAGTCAGCATGAAATGTGGTCTGTTACTATGTTCTCGTCTATATGCAGGGAGAGAGGCAGCTTGATGTGATTTACAACTTTATATTGCCAAGATTCAAAATTGGGAAGTCTGCATCTATAGAGTCCACGACTAAAGTGTAATGTCTTTTTTGCTTTTCCTGTTGTGGGTTGCGCGCTTTGTTATGGGTTTAGAAAGAGTGATTGTTTTCACTTGAGATGAAAGTCTTCACACTATCGTTAGTATCTTTCTGCCCTCTTATCTTGCGGTTTGACATCTGTTGAACCTACTAGTATTGGAACTGTGTTGTTTTTAAAACCATCTGGAAAAGCGTTGCCATTGCCATTGGTTTCACTGTCTCAGTCAAAATAAATCCTACTATATGATTTGTTCAGATATTCTGAAGGGCTATAAATGTCTAACGATAGTGTGTGTAGCTATTCCCTCCCTTGGTGTATCTCTGTCGTATTTAGACTTATGCGCCCACGCCCGCACTTCAAACTTCAGTGACGCCCGAGCAGCGACCGAATGCTGCTATCGCCACAACTGTCAATGCAGCTAATTCAACAGCGTTTCCACGAAATACCCGAAATCGGCAGACATTTCACGGAAAAACCGACTACAATAAGGTAATCAGCCCAAGAGAGAAAAGCACGTGTGGGCTTCGGGGAAATTGCACTACCTTTTACCCCTAATTCTTCTGTGATGTATTTTACTCCCTCTCTCCCTCTAGAAGAACGCGAATTTCAGTGTATGTTCTCTGAATGAATGCAATTAGCTCAATGCTTTCGTAAAGCCTTTCCTTGTTTGCTACAAACCCTACCTATTGTTTAGAACGCATTTTGTCTGTACTTTTCTTTGACTGGCCTAGAACTCTTCGTCCAAATTCCTTTTTAGTTTGAAAACGTGACTTAATCACTTCTTTGATAGTTTTTGAATTTGTAATTTATAACCATGTGTCTCCAGGCAGAATTGGACAGTATTTGTTCTTACACCAAACCCCAGACTGATTAATTTCACCCTATGCTCACCCGTGGTAAAACACGATTGCTAAGTTCAAGTAGAAACAAAATTCAAGTATCTTTCTGAATGTAATTGCTTTCCGTCTGCCCCGCAGCGTAACCTCACTTTCCACGCGGTAAAGGTCTTCATAATGTCTTCAGGAAAAACATATTTTAGCATTTTTAGGTGAATGGTGATGAGGAAGAATCGGAAAGTGAGCAAGTGCCAGCTGGACAGTCAATTGGCAATGGTCAGAAGGGGGGATTCTTCCTCTCGAAGTTGACCAAATTGACTCGACGGTAGGTAATTTCGGCATGTTTTTGCACGCATGGTTTTGTGCTGACTTGCGTACTTTTTTATTTTTGTCTCTTCGGTGGCGCTTTTTCCAGTTCTGTTGATAGCATCTCTAAAAATACGGTAGACTATTGAGAAAGTCTTTTAGCTGTGTTTGTTGCGCTACCAGGCATCGTATAAAAACTTTTAACAGTCGTGATATCTTCTATGTTTCTTAGCAATATGTGTGTTTCGCTGACATGTGTTCTCCCTAACCCTATCACGTTTCATGCTTTTTGAACTTCATCTCAATGTGGTCCGGCTTTGAGTTGTGCTATCTTTTGTGGAGTGAAGTTTTAATACCTAAGTTGAAAAACTGTGATCAAGTGAAGTGCATAAACCACATTTTGTTGATTTTCAGTTTTACATAACAAATTTTGGTGTCCTCATACGGTCAGTGACGGACGTGGAACGATGGTGGCGGTGTTCAAAATTTGCAGCTCTCATTGTTAAATTTTCGCTCTAAGTTCCTGCAATAAATGTCTCTCTCATCAATTTGAAATGTTCAAAATGCTAAAGTGACCACATTTCCAAGAAATTTGATTACCTGCGTATCACTTGTTTCAATTAATATTTGTAAGTTGGCGCTTATAACTTTATAACTCTCTGTGAAGCTTCGCTTTTTGTCTATCGGTTCCACAATAGTCTACAATGTGTTCACATTAGTACCCACCCAACTAAGGAGGCAAGTCTTTCACGCAGCATTCCCTAGCGGCATATTGTTCATGGATGTGCGAATTTCTTACATCCACTTTTAAGCTAAAGTCACTTCAGTTATTTGGGTGAAAGTCAGTGTTATTCAAGCGAAAGCTGCACCCTAAATGTGTATTGGGCAATCTTAACCTTTCTAGGCACACAAAAGCTTTTTTTTATGTAAATTTGTTTGAATGTCTTCAAGATATTGCACTCTTCACAATCTCACTTTCACTCAGCTCTCCCTTTTGCATATCCATGACATAGAACCAATAATGTAGCTAGAATAATATGCTGAAGTAGTTCCTTTTCCCTCAAATCACATCACGCAATCCACATATATCCTCAAAAGTCCCGCATGAACCCCACCCTGTTCCAGTAGCAGTACGGCGTCGCCAGCAGCCGTAGCTAACGCAGCTCCGCATGCCACTTCGGTGGTTCCCCGTCGTTCCCTGCACCATTCGGTGTCAATGACGGGATCACCACCCGAAACAAGCACTCACCGCCATCGTTCCTCGGATTACAGCCCGTCAGTGGTCACTGGAGGACACCATTACGAGAGTGGTTCTGGCTTGCCACCGCCTTATTCGGCTGTTCGTAGGGGACCACATGATGGAACGGCTTCACCGGCTACTGGACAACCCCCCTCACGAGGCGGAACTGTGGGGTCAAGCGCTGGAGCTCCAGTAACGGGAGCTTTAGCGCAGATCCGTGAAGGGCATGCTATCGCATCAACTGGTACCGCTACTCCACCTTCTGGCCGGGATGAAGAGATTAAGCCTCGAAGCTTGAGGTTTACATGGAGTATGAAAACTACCAGCAGTCTTGCTCCAGATGAAATGATGAGGTTGGTCTATCTTTTCTGCTTTCTACCATAGGAAATTCCTTTTTCAATGTTTGCTACTTTTTGAACATTGCTGTTATTGCAATTCCTCAATTTCGTTTTGCAGAGAGATTCGTAAAGTCCTCGACGCCAATAATTGTGATTATGAAC